GAATTGTGAGAATTAATGTTTTAAAATATTTATATTGAAATACGGGGTATTCTCAAAACAATTAATAAATTGAGTTTATGGCACTTTCAACGGTAAAACCTATATCTGATTGGTGAAGTTTAAAAATACTCTGTTTGGTTTATATTATTTCCCTTAATTTATGTCCCCGATTTTGTTCTGCGAGTATTTATGTAAAGGATATGTAGACATATTAGTGATGCGTATACGATTTATCAAGAATAATTTCCTCTTCATTCATGGAGTAAAGAACCAAAAAGAAAAACTAAAATTAACCATCTAGTAAAAACACCAAGTTTAGTCAAAATTAAAAAAATTGTGAATCATTAAAGGCAAGACGGTGGAAATATCTTGCCACGTGTCTGACCACCAACATTCTCACACAAAGCGGTGGCTGGACCGTCGTATCCACGGTGGACCAAGATAACGTCGACGAGCTCAACGTTTTTGCAAGGAGCAATCTTGCTACATTGCAATTTCACAGCCACTTTGTTCGTCGATGTTCCCCAAATGTTATGAAACTTCACGTCTCGTATCTGAATCTGTGAAAAAGACTGCAATTTCAAAAATAAAAAAATACATTTAGATAATATAAAGAAACTAAAAAAAACTTGTTTCTTGTCATGGAAGTTACCTTGTCGCTGCAAGGTGAGATTGGACAGTAGTGTTGATCTATGTTGATTGGGTTTCCGACATTAATCATCTGAAGATTCGTGTAAAGAAAATTCGATACTAAGTTCCGTGAAGTCGAAGAAGCCCATGTCTTGATCCGTACTCCATTACTCGTACCGTTAAAGATCGAATCCCTAACCGTTAATCCTCGAACGCTCTTCTCATTTGTATACTTCCCCAAACTTCCAACGCTGATTCCATGACCTGGTCCACAATTAACTCCGGAGATATCCAAATCGGTGGTTCCCGACAAGATCGCTATGCAGTCGTCTCCGGTTCCAATGTCTACATTGTGGATCTTGATGTGGTTCGATAAACCTATCTTGATCCCATCGGTGTTAGGGCTGTTTCCGGGAGCCCTAATTCTGACTTGCGTGATGTTCAAGTGTGAAACCGCGAAGAAGTTGAAGTGACCCATTTTGCTGTTGAGTGATTTAATGCGTGAGATTCTCGAGAATCTCACGAATTGGAACCCAATGTTCATAGGTAGAGGCCGACATTTAGGGTTTCTGCGGCAATCATTATGTCGCCAAGAGTAGCTTCCTTGTCCGTCAAGAATGCCTCCACCTGAGACCGCGAGATTGTCAACGTACCTGAAGATGATCCACGTGTCTTGTTTGATGACATTAGCTTCTTTAGGAGCTAACAAAGTTCCTTTGATGATGAAACTAATCCGACTTTTACATGGTCCCGCGAAGGTTACGCCACCGAGGTAGAATGTTCCAAATGGAACGTATACGTACACTCTAGGGTTTCCTTTCCATTCACACGCTTCTTTCCACGCCTTTGTAAACGCCTAAAACACGAAATCGAAACAATACAATTAAACGCATGTTATATCTATATAGTAGTTAATCAACAAGCTTGAATTCGTTATAAAGTTGAATTAGTTGGATCAAGAATAGGAAATTTCAGTACAATAGCGTTATCTGTTTTGCCATCACCACGAGCACCGTAGCGTCGGACGTCGAAGATCTTTCTTGCGTAGAAGGCGGCTGAAACGTTGCTTGCGATGGCGGCGAAGAACAAAATTACCGTAAAACAACAAATTGTAGAAAGCATATCTCTTTCTTCTTGTTCTTAGGCTGCCTAAGTGTAAAAAAAGAAGAAGAGAGTTTTAATTACCTCTATATATTTTATGATGGTTATATATATACTAGTGGATCTCTATACACAAGAAAGCTATATCAGTGGCTTGATTGATTTTATTTGTTTCTTTAATCGTAACATTTTATTTGTTTCTAATTGCTGCTGATGATTCTTGATTATAACGGGTTCTTTTCTAATTCTTTTATAACAGAATATTAGTAAATATGGTAAATTGTTCCAATCTTAGTCAATCAATTGTGGATCACGATTATCAAATTCCTTCCGTACGGATTATTTAACCATGATGGAGAAAATAATCCAATCGTAATAAATTTTGAATTAAATCATGGAACCATAACGGAAAAAACTCCAATCGTATTAAATATTTGAACTAGGGAGATTATTGGTAGATGGATTTTTAAAGATTTTGAGAATTTGTAGATTCCATTGTTATTGGTTGATGGATTCTTTAATTCTTAATAAAATCCATTGTTATTTGTTGATGGATTCTTACATTCCTTTTAAAATCCCTTGTTATTCAAAAAATTTATGTTTCATTGATTCTTCAATTCTATTAAAATCTAATGTTATTGGGAGATGGAATCTCTTCAATTTTACTCATACACCAAGATTCTCAAAATACTATAGATATACATAAGATTTTTGAAATCCATGTCAACGAAAACATATATTCATAACACAACCAAAACCCAACAAAGAAAACAACTATTATTATTTATACTCCATGTGAACATATATATTCATCAATGTATCAGAAACACTAAAATTTTTAATTTACTATAAGACAAAAAACGAGAAGAACTTGCTTGAATATCAAAACCCAGATTTTAAAAATATAATAACTAATCTCAAATTATAATTTCGATTAAACAAAACTATCTCAAAACACAAATTTTGCAAAAC